TTTTTCATTTATTGTAGAGATGAGGTCTCGCTGTCCAGGTGGGTCTCGAACCCGCAGGCTCAGGCAATCCACTCACCTCAGCCTCCCAAAGGCGCGGGATTACAGGCTGAGCCACCAAGCCCAGCTAATAAAACTTTTTTTTAAACAAGTGAACGAAACACATATATCTAGTCTCAAAACACAAAACTGGGCCTATCAGCTTTTCCTGAATCTCTTTTGCTGAAGGCAAAGCTGAGCCGCGGACTCAGGCCCAGCCTGGCTCTCCACGACTTGGGAGATGCCAAGTACACAAGTGGAAGCTTGAAGCTTGCACCCAGCACTGACCTCCCTTTGCCCAGGGAGTCTGAAGTGGCCCTCCCTTCTGATATTTTTGTTTCTTGGTTCAGAGTCTCGCTGCCCAGGCTGGAGTGCAATGGCATGGGCATGATTACCACAGCCTCGTCCTGCTGGGCTCAGGTGATCCTCCCACCTCAGCCTCCCAAAGTGCTAGGATTACAGGCATGAGCCACTATGCCCAGCCATTTACAAATGAGTTGATGAGATACAAGAGACCTAGCAACTTGCTCAGAGACACCTTTGAACCACTTATATGCCTTTAGCACTTGTCACAGGCTAAGCATCAAAGTCTAGAAAATGCCAGAAGATTGTCTTCAGAGACTGCCTTCTATTCATTTGCTTTTTTCATTTTTAAAAAATAATATGCCATTAAATTCACTCAATTTAAGTACTCAATTAACCCAAATGTTTTTGGGTTTTTTTTAGATAGGGTCTTACTCTGTCACCCAGTCTGGAGTCCAGTGGCATGACCATGGTTCACTGCAGCCTGGAACTCCTGGGCTCAAGTGATTCTCCTACCTCAGCCTCCTGAGAAGTTCGGACTATAGGCATGAGCCACCATGCTTGGCTAAGTTTTTAATTATTTTCTAGAGATGGGTCCAACTATGTTGCTCAGGCTAGTCTTGGACTTTCTGGGCTCAAGTGATCCTTCCACCTCAGCCTCCCAATGTGCTAAGATTACAGGGGTGAGTCACCACATCCCACCTAGAATTTTAATAAATATACACAGCTGTGCCGTCACCACCTGGTTAAGTTTTCGAACAGTTCCACACTTCTTATCTCTCTGCAATCACTCTCCTCTCTGACACCTGGCCCTAGGCAACCACTGATCTGCTTGTTAAAGTTTTGCCTTTTCATTTTTTAGAGCCAGGGTCTCACTCTGCCAACCCGGCTGGAGTGCAGTGGCGCAATTATAACTCACTGCAGCCTCAAACTCCTGGGCTCAAGTGATTCTTCTGCCTCAGCCTCCTGAGAAACTGGGATTACAAGCGCGTGCCACCACATCAGGCTAATTTTTTTGTTCATACTGATCTTGAACTCCTGGCCTCAAGCAATCCTCTGCTTTGGTCTTCCTATGTGCTGGGATTATAGACATGAGACCGGCTTGGGCAACATAGCGATAGCTTGTCTCAATAAAAACATCAAAGTTAGCTGGGTGTGATGTCACGTGCCTGTAGTCCCAGGTGCTCATGAGGCTGAGATGGAAAGATCACCTGAGCCCATGAGTTCAAGGCTGCACTCGACCCCAATTAAAAAACAGAGACAAGCCGGGCTCGGTGGCTCAGCCTGTAATCCCGTGCCTTTGGGAGGCTGAGGTGAGTGGACTGCCTGAGCCCGCAGGTTCGAGACCCGCCTGGGCAACTTGGTGAGACCTCTACAACAAATCAAAAATTAGCCGGGCATGGTAGCACGCACCTGTAGTTCCAGCTGCTTGGAAGGCTGAGGCGGAAGGATGGCCGGAGCCCAGTAGGTCGAGGCTGCGGTGGCCGGGAGCGGCCACTGCACTCCAGTCTGAGCAACAGAGTGAGACTCCAACTCAAAAAAAAAAAAAAAAAAAAGAGACAAATAATTGACAGAGACCCCAATTGAAGTAAGAACTTCTCAGGGGACTTTAAGGATTAAATGTGACTGCCATTTGCTAGTTATTCAGTACCCACTTACCACTAGTCATCCTCTCCCTCCCTGTCTCTACTAAAGCCCTCCAAATTAGTCACTGTCACATAGTAAAGCCCTGCCCATTTCTTTTTTTTTTTTTTTTTTTTCCTCCCTGCTCTCTTGATGGTTTCTTTGGCTTTGCAGCCATTTCTTTTTATACGTGGCTTTAGGCTCAGGCCCAGCCCTAGAAGGAACCTTACCTATTGGCTATCTTCTCTATATTCTTAAACTCACACCAACCCTCTTTCCACAGATGTTAACTGTCGCTCATAGCTACCAGTAGGCTCACAGAACCAGAAAAAATGTGCTTTTGGGCACGGTGGCCCATAATCCCAGTACTTTGGGAGGCCAAGACAGGAGTGAAGAGGCCAAGAGCTCTAGACCAGCCTGCACAATGTGGCAAGACCCCAGCTCTACAAAAAAATGTTAAGAACTTAGCTAGGAGTGGTGGCACACACCTGTTGCTCTAGCTACTGAGGCCAGAGGATGGCTTGAATCCAGTTCAAGGTTGCAGTGAGCAGCTATGATTGCACCACTGCACTCCAGCCTGGGCAACCGATAACTTGCCTCTTAAGGAAAAACTGGGCATGACGGCTCACACCTGTAATCCCAGCACTGGCAACTTGGGGAGATGTCTCCACAATAAATCAAAAAATTAGCCGGGCATGGTGGTGCACACCTGTAGTTCCAGCCACTTGGAAGGCTGAGGCAGAAGGATCAGCAGAGTCCAGCAGGTCGAGGATGCAGTGGTTGTTGAGCATGCCACTGCACTCCAGCCTAAGTGACAAAGTGAGACTCTGACTTAAAGAAAAGCTTTAGGGGCTGTGCACAGTGGCTCAAGTCTGTAATTCTAGCTTTGTGAGACAGAGGCGAGAGGATTGCCTGAGCCCAGGCATTCAAGTGCAAGACCTGGTGTGGTGGCACATGCGTGCAGTTCCAGCCACTTGGAAGGCTGAGGTGGAATTCTCTGAATCCAGCAAGTCGAGGCTGCAGTAGTTGTAAAACTTGCCACTCAAAAAAAAAAAAAAAGCTTTAAGTAGATTGGGTAAAGAACTTTGAGACACCAGAAGGTCGAAGAATTAAGGGTTTGTACTTAGAGAGTAAGTGTTCTACAAAAACCACCAAAAAAGCAGTTGGAAACTTGGGGCATATGTATTAGAAAACATAATGCAGGCAAATGGAGAAGACATGTTGTCAGTTTTCCCTTTCTCTTCTGTGCACCTTGGGAAGATCACATCAAGACTCGGTGTCTAATGTCAACCATGTAAACTGGGTCCCAGCACCTTTGAATCTGCTAGTACCTAACGTACCTTTGTCATCCAGCAAAAGGTCCCTCTCCCCCAATGAGACGCTTCCACACAACTCTTTTTAACTCATCTGTATTTGTTACAACCTCTTTAAGTAGAATGTGACTTGGGCACTACATTTCCATTCACAAGCCTCACAGTTCCTTTATGAACAGCTTTACAAACACCTAGGTAGGCTTATAATTTTGCTCTTCTAGACAATACTTTTCTTTGGAAAACAAGCCCTGGAGAGTTCTTCCCATCAAGTTGCTTCAGTTTAACATACTTATTTCTAGAGGACTAGCACATGCAGAATTGTTAACTACAGGGATGAAAAGCTTAAAGTCAATTCTAGAAGATGAAACTCAAGTGATTTAAACAAACACTTTTCTTCTAAACATCAAGGTTTATCTGAGAACACTTCAGTGACAAAGATTTGGTCTACTAAGGAATCCTGCTTGATAGCTAAACACTTCAGACCACAAAGTTAACATTAGGCTACATACCCCTTACAACATGTTCCCTCTATCTGTTCAAATAAGCCAAGGTGAAACTAGAAAAGCATTACTAGTTCTGCTTAGTGCCTAAGGTATCACAGCACCACACATGAGGAAAGAAACCTTATCATCCCCTTAAAGGAGTTATTGTCATGCCATACAGATTTTTAAAACGTTAACAAAAACGAAGAACAATCCTTGAAAATATGTTATCGGAGGGAATGAAGATAAAGCATTGGACACGTGTACAAGCCGTTCTTCAGGCAAAGCTTAGTCTACTTCTTCCATGCGCGATGTGTCGTCATCTCCTTCGAGGGGTGGCATCTCTTCAGTGACAGCAGCACTGGTATCATCAGCAGTAGGATCATCTTCATCAATACCTTTTTCAAAATAAAATCCCATTAGAAAGATTTCTTAAAGCCAGCTAATTAGCATAATGCTGTTTATACCCATTTTCAAGACTGAACACTACAGGGTATATGAATTCCAACTTCATTTCTTAGATCTTATGGTGAAAGAGTCCACTTATCCTTACAAGAATGGGACACTCTGTTTCCCAAGCAGAAGGATGACCCAATTTGGAATAGCTGAAAGTCAAGCACCCAGTTCAACAAGTCATGTGTGTTTAAATTTCTATTCCTTCTAACATGACACAGTGCAAAGGCTTACCCAGACCAAGTTTGATCATCCTGTAGATCCTGTTAGCATGTGTCTGAGGATCTTCCAGACTGAAGCCAGAAGACAGGAGTGCAGTTTCATAGAGCAAGATGACCAGATCCTTCACAGACTTGTCGTTCTTATCAGCCTCTGCCTTTTGCCTTAAGGTCTCAATAATGGAATGGTCAGGATTTATCTCCAGGTGTTTCTTTGCTGCCATGTAACCCATGGTGGAGTTGTCTCTGAGAGCTTGAGCTTTCATGATTCTTTCCATGTTTGCTGTCCAGCCATAAGTGCTTGTGACAATACAACATGGCGACGTCACCAATCGGTTTGATACAACCACCTGTTGTCCAAAGCATTAAGCAGAAAGACTTTAACCTTTCAGCTTTCATTGAAATAGGAATATAAGGAACCCAAATATTGAAGGGTCAGAAATACTATGTGCAAATTTAGGTATCCAAAGGGCCATCATCGTTAAATGCACAAGCTAAAACTGTTTTACAAAGGAACATGCAGTTTTCTATGTGGATTAAGTTGGGAACTTACAAAGAAAAATGGCCTATACATTAATACATGTGATGAGCATCTTACAGATGTCAATGACTACAGAACAAAGACAGATTCGTTATACTCACATACCTTCTCAACTTTTTTCTCCAAGATGTCTTTCATGATTTTGCAGAGGTTTTCAAACTTTGTTTTTTTCTCTTCCTGTTTCTTTTTCTCTTCTTCATCTTCTGGAAGTTCTAAGCCCTCTTTGGTGACTGACACTAAAGTCTTCCCTTCAAATTCCTTCAGCTGCTGGACACAATACTCATCAATAGGCTCGATCATATAGATTACTTCCAAGCCATGCTTCCGAAGACGTTCCACAAAGGCCGAGTTAGCAACCTGGTCCTTGGTCTCACCTGTGGTTATTATAAAATAAACACTTTTAGACCTTTAAGAGTAAATAGCTTCATTTACTCCTTACTTTGACTAGCCAAATACTTAGGCATGACCTAACCACACAGATATGACCTAAGTACCTTGCCTAGACCAACACCAATTATATTAACTTACATACAGTGCCACCTGGGTAGAAGACACACCAAGTCCCTACACCCTAGAAGCCTACACTAAAAGTGATGTGCCTGTAACATACACTGACCCTTACCTGTGATGTAATAAATATGTTTCTGGTTTTCCTTCATTCTGGTGCAATAGTCCTTGAGAGAAACCATTTCATCACCAGAAGCAGATGTGTAGTATCTTAACAGCTCCGAAAGCTTCTTCCGATTTTGAGAGTCTTCATGTATTCCAAGCTGAAACAAAACACGTGCTTTAGAAAGACCTTTTCTGCATTAAAACAACACTTAAAATGAGGCCACCTTGAGTGGCTACTAATGACTAGTCGTCTACACCCACCTTTATGTTTTTGGAGAACTGTTCGTAAAACTTTTTGTAGTTCTCTTTATCTTCTGCCAGTTCAGTGAAGAGTTCTAAGCATTTTTTCACCAAATTCTTTCTGATAACTTTCAAAATTTTGCTTTGTTGCAGCATCTCACGCGAAATATTCAGAGGGAGATCCTCAGAGTCCACTACTCCCCTAATGAAATCTGAAAAAATAAAAAACCGAATGTGCTCGGTCATTCCAAGGACAAAACTGGTAACATGTAAACCCAAAAAAGCAGAGACGGAAAAGACCCTGGAAGTGGCAGGAGAAATTCGTTACCCAGTGACAGTACTCACTGAGATATTCAGGGATCAGTTCTTCACAGTTATCCATGATGAAAACTCTGCGTACATACAACTTGATGTTGTTCTTTTTCTTTCTGTTTTCAAACAGGTCAAAAGGAGCACGTCTTGGGACAAAAAGAAGAGCTCTGAATTCTAATTGTCCTTCAACTGAAAAATGCTGTAATAAAACACAAAATACCAACAGACGATGTAAACAAGCTCAATTACCTGACAAATTCTTGCCCCTACATAACTCAAAGCATTTGGGGGTAAGGGAGGAAGAGTGGAGAGCTGACCCATCAACCTTCAAAGCTAACAACCTAGGGACTAGCCCTGAAGCACCCAACAGTCACTGACCTTCACTGCCAAGTGATCCTCCCAGTCGTTGGTCAAGCTCTTGTAGAATTCTCCATACTCTTCGTTAGTAATGTCATCAGGATTTCTGGTCCAGATAGGCTTTGTTTTGTTGAGTTCTTCTTGATCAATGTATTTCTCCTTAATCTTCTTCTTCTTCTTCTTGTCACCATCCTTCTTTTCTTCTTCTTCCTCATCAGAACCAACATCTTCTATTTCTGGTTTGTCATCAGACTCCTTCTCTTCTTTTTCTTTTTCTTCCTCTTTATCTTCCTTTTCTTCAGCCTCATCGTCACTGACTTCTTTATCACGTTCCTTCTCCACCTTCAACAAAAGACATGAAATCACATCACTTCTACATTCCAGAACTAAAGAACAGATTGAAAAGGAGTGGCACACTGAGACCAAAGCCTAAATGTGTTAGCCAAGCCAAGAAGCACTAAGTAGTCAAAAAACTTCTCATAAACATTTGATACAGCAACGACTTAATAGTCCCAGGTACCTTTCTTTAAAGGACGGACAGAGCTTAGGTTCCAACAGGCTTCAGACTAGTCTAGCAAATATTTCAAGTTCCAAAGAACTAAGGACTAAGTCACTTCAGCTGTCTGCACACGGCAACGTACTCTGATTACTAATTACAAGGAGACTTACAAAAAGAGTAATGGGATAGCCAATGAACTGAGAATGCTTTTTCACGATCTCCTTTATTCTTCTTTCCTCCAAGTACTCGGTTTGGTCTTCTTTCAGATGCAGGATAACCTTTGTTCCACGACCCATAGGCTCACCTGAAAGAGAAGCAGGGCAAACGGACTCAGTTTAGCTCTCACCGCAACACCAGCCCTTTCCCACGAGCCTATGAGGTTCATTTAGTTACTGTGGTTGGAAACACTCCTACAGCAGGTCTAAGTGCCTTGCTTCAAATAACCAAGGCCCTACCACTGCATTAATAAGTAACTCACAGCCTACTCCTGAACAGGTCGGGCAAACACAAATCTCACAGCATCCTCAGGACTCCAGCCCCATCCTCCCTGAACTGCCCTAGCCATAACCAAGGGAGGTTCTCTGGGTGCCTACCTGTGTCAGTCCTGACTGTGAACGACCCCCCTGCGGAGGATTCCCAGGCATACTGCTCGTCGTCGTTGTGCTTGGTGATCACCGTTACCTTCTCGGCAACCAAATACGCAGAGTAAAAACCAACACCGAACTGGCCAATCATAGAGATGTCTGCACCAGCCTGCAACGCTTCCATGAACGCCTTGGTCCCAGACTTGGCGATAGTGCCAAGGTTATTGATCAGGTCGGCCTTGGTCATTCCGATTCCAGTATCCACGATGGTGAGGGTTCGCTCTTGCTTGTTAGGTATAAGGTTAATGTGCAGCTCCTTCCCAGAGTCTAGTTTGCTGGGATCGGTCAGGCTTTCATAGCGGATTTTGTCCAAAGCCTGTTAACAAAAAAACATCGTCACGCACACAACCCCAAGCCGGAGTTCATACTCAAACCCCAACCCCAACCCCATTCTGCATTAAAGGGCACTCACATCCGACGAGTTAGAAATGAGCTCTCTCAGAAAGATCTCCTTGTTCGAGTAGAAAGTATTGATGATCAGCGACATCAGCTGGGCGATTTCCGCCTGAAAGGCGAACGTCTCCACCTCCTCCTCCTCCATGGGTTGGTCTTGGGTCTGGGTCTCCTCAGGCATCTGGAAAGGACGCCGCGGCGCTTTAGACCCCGCGCCGCGTCTGCAGCGGCACTCCGGGCCTCCGTCGCGGGCGCCGAATTTGGTTTTCAAGAGCCAGATTTCGGAGATTCGCGAAATTTACGCCAACCGAAAATAGCAGGCTGGCTTGACAAAGGGATGACCTCATTTCGGCGGCGGCTCCAGGAGCGTGTGCGCGCCGCGAGGAGGCCGCCGCGTCCTCCCCTCGCGGGCTCCGCCATGCGGCCTCCTCCCGCCGGCGCCCCCCGGGGACGGGGCTCCGGGGGCGACGCCTCCCGGGACCCGGCGGAGGGGCCTAGGCGGCTGGCCCGCCCGCCCGGTCGCGCCTCCAGAACCTTCGGCAAGCCCCCGGGCCGCCCGGCCCTAAGCGGGGGTAGGGGGCGCAACAGGCCCGAGGCCTCCGGAATGGAGCCGGGGTCGCCCCGGAGCCGCGGCCGAGCGGGGTTCGGGGCTCGGGCTCGGGCTCCCGCCCCCACTGCCCCCCCTCCGCGCCCGCCGCCCCCCACATCAAGCTGAGAGGCCCCGCAGCCGCCCCTCACCGTGGCTACAGGGCCGCACCGGCTCCGCAACGCAGCAGCACCAAGACGCCGAAGCAACTGGCGCGCCGCCCCCGCGCCTCCCTTATAT